TCTCGGAGCCCACACTTGCACGGATTTCCCAAGCGAGACCGACCGGATCGCCTCACAAACGGCACCTCAAGGCCCCAAAAATAACGATGCTGGCTTCGCCGCCACCGACCCGGACAACTTCTCGCATGGGGTCTCCTAGCTCATAATCCCCTCCGCCTTCTGGGCAGGAGATGGTCCATCGCGATTCCTTGTCCAACCCCATTTCCCCCTTCGGGGATGGGGTCATCGCTGCTCCTGGATAAATTTGCCACCTCGCCCAATCTACCAATCGCTAACCCGAGCTACTGCCACCCCCCACGATTCCAACAAAAAACCACTTGAATTAGCCTGGCGAAGAACCCAACCATATGCAGGTGTCAGTACCGCAGCTGCGGGTTTCATCTTCAATGGAACTCCCCATAGGATTACGAAACGTGTGAGGGGTGTGCCGAATTGGGTGCGGGTGGTGACGCATGCGGGCGGCAGCACTGGGGCCTTCGGTGGAGCTCCCCATGGGGCCACGAAACCTGTCGTTGTGAGGGGCGTGCCGGGATGGGTGGCGGGGACGCATGTGAGCGCGGCCGCTGGGGCCTTCGGTGGAGCTCCCTATGGGGCCACGAAACGTGTGAGGGGTGTGCCGAATTGGGTGGGTGTGGGTGACGCATGTGAGCGCCGCCACCGGGGCCTCCAGTGGATGATGGGGCCATGAAACCTGTCAGGGATGTGCCGAAATGGGTGTGCGGGACGCATGCGCATGTGAGCGCCGCCAGTGGTGCCTTCGGTGGAGTTCCCTATGGGGCCACGAAACGTGTGAGGGGTGTGCCGAAAGGGGTGTGGGTGACGCATGCGGGCGCGGGCACTGGGGCCTTCGGTGGAGCTCCCTATGGAGCCACGAAACGTGTGAGGGGTGTGCCGAAATGGGTGTGGGTGACGCATGGGGCGCGGGCACTGGGGCCTTCGGTGGAGCTCCCTATGGAGCCACGAAACGTGTGAGGGGTGTGCCGAAATGGGTGTGGGTGACGCATGCGGGCGCGGGCACTGGGGCCTTCGGTGGAGCTCCCTATGGAGCCACGAAACGTGTGAGGGGTGTGCCGAAATGGGGGTGGGTGACGCGGGCGGCGCGGGGGCTGCTGGGGCCGGGGCCTTTCGGTGGAGCTCCCTATGGAGCACGAAAGTGTGAGGGGTGTGCCGAAATGGGTGTGGGTGACGCATGCGGCGCGGGCACTGGGGCCTTCGGCGGAGCTCCCTATGGAGCCACGAAGCGTGTGAGGGGTGTGCCGAAATGGGTGTGGGTGACGCATGCGGGCGCGGGCACTGGGGCCTTCGGTGGAGCTCCTATGGAGCCACGAAGCGTGGTGAGGGGTGTGCCGAAATGAGTGTGGGTGACGCATGCGGGCGCGGGCACTGGGGCCTTCGGTGGAGCTCCTATGGAGCCACCGGTGGTGGGTGTGCGCGATGGTGTGGGTTACGCCATGCGGGCGCGGGCACTGGGGCCCTTCGTGGAGGCTGGTGTGCCGAAATGTGTGTGGGTGACGCATGCGGGAAGCACTGGGGCCTTCGGCGGAGCTCCCTATGGAGCCACGAGCGTGTGAGGGGGTGTGCCGAAATGGGTGTGGGTGACGCATGCGGGCGCGGGCACTGGGGCCTTCGGTGGAGCTCCCTATGGAGCCACGAAGCGTGTGAGGGGTGTGCCGAAATGGGTGTGGGTGACGCATGCGGGCGCGGGCACTGGGGCCTTCGGTGGAGCTCCCTATGGAGCCACGAAGCGTGTGAGGGGTGTGCCGAAATGGGTGTGGGTGACGCATGCGGCCGCGGGCACTGGGGCCTTCGGTGGAGCTCCCTATGGAGCCACGAAACGTGTGAGGGGTGTGCCGAATGGGTGTGGGTGACGCATGCGGCGCGGGCACTGGGGCCTTGGAGCCCCTATGGAGCACGAAACTGCCGCGGGTGATCGCATGCGGCGCGGGCACTGGGGCCTTCGGTGGGGAGCACGAAACGTGTGAGGGGTGTGCCGTCGGTGGGTGACGCATCGCCTGGGGCTTCGGTGGAGCTCCCTATGGAGCCACGAAACGTGTGAGGGGTGTGCCGAAATGGGTGGGTGACGCATGCGGGCGCGGGCACTGGGGCCTTCGGTGGAGCTCCCTATGGAGCCACGCAACGTGTGAGGGGTGTGCCGAAATGGGTGTGGGTGACGCATGCGGGCGCGGGCACTGGGGCCTTCGGTGGAGCTCCCTATGGAGCCACGAAACGGTGTACTGGGTGGGTGAAGAGGAGAGGAGGAGAGGATGATAGGAGGGGAGAGGAGGCGGAGGAGGAGAGGAGGAGAGGAGACGCGGGGCACCGTCTCTTCAAAACGAGGACCCAACAACACAGGTTGGTTGGGAAATACTCCCAGACGGATTCCACATTGGAGCTCGGAAATGCAATGCGATCGGTCAGAACCATGATCATCGAATTAACATGGTTCTGTAGATCCGCCACCGTGCTTCTGGGCACGGAGTGGGCGTGCCCTCAGGTTCGCACCATCATCCTCTCAACCTCAGTCCTTACTCCTGAGGAGCCGTTCCGAATCCCAGACACCACATCGCGAAATCTTTCCCTGGGGCTTCTCGCGGTCTCTCGCGTGACTGTCTCGGAACGGAGGGAACCCCAAAACAGGCCAGCAGGGCCCGAAAAGCGCCCAAGACGGCCACAAACGCCCCGACCGCCCAAAGATCGCCCCAAGACGCCCTACGTGGCCTCAGGATGGCCCAAGAGAAGATGTCCCAAGAGGCCTCGAAAGTGCATCCCAACAGGACCTGAAAAGGTACAACGCATTGATTTGCCTTCGTTGTTTGAAAGATTCTGGCGTTCCCGAGATCCCGAATACCACCCCAGCACTGCCCAAGAGGCCGCCCAGAGAACCCCAAGACGGCCCTCGAGCGCCCCAAGACGGCCCAGGAGGCGCCCGAAACGGCCCAAGAGGGCCCATGAGGGCACCAAAAGTGGCCCAAGAGAAGGAACACGAACCACAAATCGTAGCGTTCCGCCCCAAGAGGCCCCCAAGAGGCTCCAAGATGCACCCAAGAGGCCCCAAAAGGCCCCAAGAAGCCCCCAAGAGACCCAACAGCGACCCCACGAGGCTCCAAAACTGCCCAAAGAGGCCCCAAACTGCATCCAAGAGGCCCCCTAAGGGTCCCCAAGAAATCCCAACGATCATCGAATGAATAGGCTTCATACCCACAACCCAGACACAGCGGCGGGATGGGCCGAGGGCCATTCGATAAAGAGGAGTCCGCGGTGCAACAGAGAATCAAGAGTCTGACCTGAACCCTTCCTGCCGTGCTCGGAAAAGTACCCCGACAACGAACGTATCAAACGTTCGTCGCTCAACTGGGGTCGGCGGCAGAGGCGGCAGCCTTTAGATTGCTCGAAACGGCTGCTGGAGACAGGACATATGGGCATCTAGCTGCCTCCTGCTCCTCCTCCTCCTCCTCCTCGTCCTGCTCCTCCTCTGCCTCTTCCTCCTCCTCCTTCTCCTTCTCCTCCTCTTCCCTCGCCAGGGGCGTCGCCGAAGGCGCCACGGGGGGGGGGGCCCAGCGCGGATCCAAGCAATTCGCGCGGAGCGTCAAAAGTTTATGTTCATGGCGTGTTGTTCTTCTTCGATCGATGGCCCTCGCCCCCAAGCAGTGCACACGTCCGAGCGATGCCAAGCGCTTCGCCCGTCGATCCATCGGCGATGCATCGTCGACGTGGGCGATGTATCGGCGACGTCGACGTAAAGCACAGCACATCGGGCCCCATATCGAGCCGCATCGGCGATGCACCGGCAATGCGGCGCGATCCTCCGACCCCATCAACTCCGACCCTGTCTGGGGGGCTAGAGGGGCGGCCTCTCTGAGGGCAGGGTGCTTCTCAAGAGGGGGTCGCTGGCTTCAAGGGAGTCGGTGGCTTTTGAGGTGGCTTCTGACCAAGACGCCCTCGAATCACGAAAAAAACGACAGGAGATGTTTCGCTTGTTTGGGCCTCGGGACCGCCAAACAACGGCTCGGGATGAGAAACCAGTCCCGGGGAATGGGTCGGAACCGCTGGGGGTGGACGTAATGACAAAGTCATGACGTCGGGGGTCTGGGGAGGAGGCAGACAAGCTTTTGAGAGGCAACCCCCGCCTTTGTACACGGCCACCCCCTCGCGCCACCCCTGGCGCATGCGCGTCGCAGAATGCCTGTGCAAGGCTTGAGCTGGGGCTGGTCGACTCAGACGAGTCCCCGCCACGCAATGGGGCAGGAGGGCCAGTCTGGACAGACTGAAAGCCCGCCACGCCAGGGCAAGGTGATGTCCTTGACGAGCGGCGCGCCAGCGAAAATCCCGGCACACCAAGGCGTGGAGGCGCTCGAGGACACAGGTGGACAAGCGCGAATCCAGCTCTCTTGATTGCAGAGAAGAGCCCTTCAGTGCAGGCACTGCCCGGGAACAATGTTACGGTAAACGGGATGACATATCCATCCAGTAAGAGGCACAAGTATTTTGTTAAGGGGCAATGGTTTTGCTCAGGCCAGTTTGTTCGTTTCGATGTGAGGTACATGCGAGAAGTTGCGAGAAACCTACCGAGCTACCTTCATGCAATTCCAATCCGCTTCCCTCTCCCCCTCCCCCCATCCTCTCCCGTCCCCTTCCCACCACTTCCCCCCTTTTCCCGACCCCTCCTCCCTCGTTACCATACCGGGCTCCCCGCTCTTTCCCTCCCTCCCTCCCTCCCTCTCCCTCTTCCCTTCTCTCTCTCTCTGTCACTCGGCGGAAGAGGGGGACGACGACGACGACGACGACGACGACGACGACGACGACGACGACGGCGACGACGACGACGACGACGCCGACGACGACGACGACGACGACGACGACGACGACGACGACGACGACGACGACGACGACGACGACGACGGCGGCGGCGGCGGCGGCGGCGGCGGCGGCGGCGGCGGTCAGCGGCGGCGGCGGCGGCCAGCAGCGGCAGCAGTGGGCCCCCGCGGGGCCCCACGGGACGCCTGAAGTCGCCGCACATCTCCACCCCCGAGCTGGCCATGGACGCGCCGAGGCCAGCGCCGCCGCCGCCGAGCCCGGGCATGCCGAGGCCGGCGAGGCCGCCGGCGAGGCCAGGGAGCCCTGGCCTCGGCCGCCGCCGCCGCCGCGGTCGCCGCTGCGACGCGGCCGTCCTCGTCGCCGTCGCTGCAGTCGCCGCCATCGCCGTCGCCGCCCCCGACGCCGCTGCCGCCGTCGTCGCCGCCGTCGCCGTCGCCGTCGCAGTCGTCGCCGACGCGAGCGCGCGCGGGAGCGCGGGAGTGCTCTTAGGGAGGGGGTGGAGGACGGACGCGTGGAGTGAATATCCTGCATCAGGGGCGTTTCGGGTGGCTTCTCGGCTACAGCGCGGCCACCTCGGAGGTGCTGGCCCAAACGCACACTGAACGAGTGTGGGGTTCGATTTCGGCCCCCTGCAGGGTACAAACTGGGGGGGAGAGGGGGGGCAGGAGGAGGGAGGGAGGGAGGGAGGGAGCGACGAAGGTGGAGGAGAGGAAAGGGAAGGGGAGGAAACAGAATGGAGTAGGGGGGAGGAAGGAGTGGGAGGGAGGGAAGGGGGGAGTGTTGCGTGGTGGTGTGAGGGAAACAAGTCCACCTTGCCCCTCGCTGTTGCTGCTTGGTCCGCGCCTGTCCCATCCTTCTTTACATGGGAGGAGGAGGAGGAGGGAGGAAGCAAAGGACGGTGGGGGGAGTAGAGGTTAGGTATGGGTTACAGGCATGGGCATGAGGGGAGGGAACACTGGGGATGGGGAAGGCTGCTTCCGCTCGCTCTTCCTTCTCCTCCTGCCGCTTCTGCTGATCCCTCCTCCTCTTCCCCCTCCGCCTCCATTCCAACACATGTCCAACATGTTAACTCCTGTCTCTTCCGTTCTCTCATGATCGTCACTCCCGCTTCCTTTTCATCCTCATCATCCTCCTTCCATGCCTGCTCCTACTGCTCCTACTCCTCCTCCTCCTCCTCCTCCTCCTCCTCCTCCTCCTCCTCATCATCATCATCATCATCATCATCATCATCATCATCATCATCATCATCATCATCATCATCATCATCATCCTCTTGACTATCCTCTACATCATCCTCAAATATCCATCGCCCCTTCTACGTATCACCATCCTGCTCCTCCCCAGTATCCGGTGCATCCTGCTGATACGCCTCATGCACCTCCTGCTCCTACTCCTCCTCCTCCTCCTTCTCCTCCTCCTCCTCCTCCTCCTCCTCCTCATCATATCATCATCATCATCATCATCATCATCATCATCATCATCGTCATCGTCACGTCATCGTCATGTCATCGTCATCGTCATCGTCATCGTCTCGTCATCGTCATCGTCATCGTCATCATCATCATCATCATCATCATCATCATCATCATCATCCATCATCATCATCATCATCAGCATCAGCATCATCATCATCATCATCATCATCATCATCATCAGCATCATCATCATACATCATCATCATCAGCATCATCAGTATCATCATCATCCTCATTCTCATCCTCATCCTTATCCTCATCATCATCCTCATCATCCTCTCCTCATCACTCGTTTTGCCATTTACGCGAGGCTCTCGCCGAGATAAGGGGTGGGGACCGTTCTAGCGACAGCACAGTCGCCAGATATCAGATAAAACATCCAGCCGAAGAGAGAGCGTCCACGTGCGATACATGTGAGCGTGCCATCTCCTGAAACGGCGAAACCCTCAAAAATATCGCAGCTGAGCGCTAGCACAAACAACACAGCTCCTCCCTGAGGTGCTTCACTACGGCTGATAATGGCTGAGCACTGCAACGATGCTGCGCACGTTTGGGGGTGGGAGGGGGGGGCGTTGGAGGTGCACTATCCTGGAGAACTGATCAAGGGTCTCGATGCAAACGGACTGCGAATATTGAAGCAATCGTGAACCAGGCCACTGGCCGCATATTACCAGCATGAACCACGCACCCGGCCATGGCCTCTAACACTCATGGAGAATAACTCCTCCAGAGTCTCCGCCGTGGCACATCCGAGTTTGCCACCGAGGAGTAGCTACTGGTCTCGGCGCCCGCCCTCGCAATCTGGCGCTTCAACCAAAGAACGGGGCCCGAGGAAACACAAATGAACACGTACACACAAATCCCAGGATCCCCCAGGCTTTCCCATATGTTCTATGTGTTCCCTCCCCCAGTTCCCATGTTTCCCAATACTTCCCTGGGAGTTGATGATTACTTTTGTCTGTGCTTCCCCCTCCTGAAACACATCATGTTGTAACGGGAAGATACGTAGGGTACGGAATACCTCTGGAGGCGAGAGATACGCCTGCCATCACCAGGCCTCCAAAGGCGTCCGAGATCGACCAACGAAGGAAGTCATGCCGAATCTGCAAGAAGCACTCCGAGTTCCAGCGCTGCAGGTACTGGGACAGGCGTGGGGGTTGCTAAGGGGATTGGGGGGGGGTGATCTGTGGATGGAAAGTTGGGATATTTC